GGTTAATAGGAGCCCTGGTGGTAGAGTGGTTATGAGCTGGGCTGCTAATTACAAGGTCAGCAGTTTGAAACCACCTGTCGCTCTTCAGGAGAAAGTTGGGGATTTCTACTCCCATAATGCACCATAGTCTTGGAAACCCACAGGGGCAGTTCTACTCTGTCCTATAGGGTCACCATGCGTTGGCTTCTCGGTGGCAGTGAATTTGACTTTTTTTCTTTTTAATTCCGAGGGGGTTAATGACTGATTAGGCGCCCTGGTGGTGTTGTGGTTACGCGATGGGCTGTGATCTGCATGGCTGGCCATTGGAAACCACCATCAGCTCTGCGGGCAAAAGACTTGGGCTTTCTACTCCCTGAAACAGCTACCATCTCAGAAACCTACAGGGGAGTCACTCAGCTTCAGCACTGACTTGATGGCGGTGAATTTGCCTTAAGGACTGACTATAGATCCGATCAGCTTCCTTTGGAAGACCTTTGAAATGTAAAGGTCAGCCACTGGGCTAGAAGGAAGTGAGTTACCAACTAGGTATCCCTTGATCTTTGATGTTACTATTGTAATTGGGGGTGGGGGGGGCTGGGTCTGATGGCTCCACTGGCCCAGCCACACCCTTTATCTCTCCAATCCCCCCAAGCCTTGCCAATTCCTAAAGGGAGAGTCAATCAATGCAGCAAACTTCTTGAATGTCTTGTCTGAAGAAAGGGTTTCGGCCACTCCAACCTTCAGCAACCACCAACCTGAGCAGTCAGCAGCCTTCAACATCAAGGCAAGACCCTCTACCAACCACAAGGCTGTACCTCACAAAAGGCTCAGATGATGGTTGGGCATTTTTAGCCAAAACTAAATAAAAATGAATAACTCACAGCCGTTGAGTTGATGCTGAGTCATACCGACCCTGTAGGACAGGTTTGAACCTGCCCCCTGTGAGTTTCTGAAAGTATAATTGTTTACAGGACTCGAAATCCACACTTGTCTCCCATGGAGCGGCTGCTCGTCTCAAATTACTGACCTCGTGGTTCGCAGCCCAAGGCATACCCCACTGCACCCCCAAGGTCATCGAGTGGATTCTGACTCAGAGCAACATGATAGGACAAGGTAGAACTGCCCCTGTGAGTTTCTGAGACTGCAACTCTGTACTGGAATAGAAAGCCTCATCTTCCCCGCTTGGCGCAGCTGGTGGTTTCGAACTGTAACCTTGTGGTTAGCAGCCCAATATGTGACCACAACACCCCCTGGGCTTCTGACACCACTAGGGCTAGTATTATTTATTTAAGTTCTATAAATTGTTTATCTTTTCATTTAAAATGGACACTTTCTAAAGGACATAATTCTGATCACTTAAAAAAATACTGACACCAAGTCGATTTCGACTCATAGTGATCCTATATAGGGTTTCCATGGTTGTAAATAGTTATGGGAGCAGACAGCCTCCCCGGCTCCTGAGGAGCAGCTAGTAGTTTTGGGCAAATGGTTTATATCCTGGGGATTCATGCTTAACCCCATCTTCCTTACATCTGACCCAAGCGCCTCCACTTGAAAGCTTTTCTGTTTACAGTTATTATTCCTAGAATTACATTACTAACATCGGTCAATGTGGTCAGTAATATTTTCACCCAGAGAGTTACAACAGAACTCTTTAACACCCGAGACAGTCTATCATTTCTGGTATAGCACTTCTTGCTGGTATTTATCCAGAAATACTATTCTAAGATTTTTTGTTGTCTTCCTAATCAAAAGGAAAAGAATCTGTGATCATGTAAACAGGAAGCTGATATGTGAGGGAGGGGGCTCTCACCGTGTTAGTATTAAGGAAGTTGTCCTTGGAAATGCTGGCAGTTGATGTAGCCATCAAAGGAAACGTAACCCTTGAATCACTCTTTGCTTTGTTGAGGACCCCGACTAAAGTATGTAGCAAACAAAGTTCAGATTTGTGGCTCCCTCTGTTGAGGGAAGGCGGTGCAGGAACTATTGGAGAGGACAGGTATACAGTGTGCTTCAATTGATTCCATCTGTTCCTTAAGCTGAATGGTGGGTAAGGGTATACATACACTATACTCTCTCTGCTCTCTGGTATGCCTGAAAAATTTCTTCTTCCGTGGCGAGTGATTCGTATGTCGGAGATGCATAAAGTAGATATGGAGCCTGATGGCAGCCATTTGGTACTCTACATCAGGTTCAAAGATCAAAGCAACCTCATCGCCATTGAGTCGATGCTGACTCAGCCACATGATAGAAGGCTCAGCACCGACGATCTCATTTCATGCTCACACCAACCCTGCAAGGTGGGTGGCTTCATCCTCATTTTATAAGGTTAGACACTCCATGAATTGTCTCGGGTAGCACAACTGGTAAAAAGCAAAATTAAGAATGGAGACTGTTGAAACATCATTTTAAAAGAAAAAACAGTGTAGGCTCAGAACAGAAATGGGCACATAAGGCTTAAGAGAAAACCTTGAGTTCCACTGGCTACCCAGGCCTGCTCTCCAGCCAAACAAGGTGTGCTACGAGCTTACTAAAACTCAGTATGAAGAGAGTTTGTGGCATTTGAGCCAGGACTCACTCTCTCTGCCCTCCCTCCAGCCCCTGCAGAACTTAGCAGAGGCTCAATTCTAACCATACACCTCAGCTCCCCATCACGGGATGCAATAGCCCATCAGAAGATTTCAAAATGGCTTCATTGGGAACAGCCAAGCCTAATGGTACTCACAAAAATAAATGCTATCAGAAAGCTCCCAAGGGAGTGCAAAGGATAAACTCAGAGGCCAGAGCGTGGCACCCCATCGGACTTGACTGGAGGACACGCCTAGATGTCAAAAATCAGACCTCGATCTATTTACAGGTTTTTCTTTCTTTTCTAAATTTGTAAATTTTTTTCTTTTTCATGTTTTTAAATTAATTTATTCTTTTATGGGTCATTGGTTTTCTTTTTCATTGTCATTGTGTTCTCTTTTGTCACTTTGTCTTGCTATGCCTTGTTTTTTGGGTGCATATTATTATCTCTGCAGATCTATCTAGATAAGAATTCTACCTTGCAAGTCTGGCTAGACCAGAGGATGTACACTGGTACAGAAAGGAACTGGAAAAACAGGGAATCCAGGGCGGATGATCCCTTCAGGACAAGTGGTGTGAGTGGCGATACTGGGAG